GAATGTCTTATTTTATTTACTTATTCATTTATGTATTTCCCTCGCACATTTATTATTCATTTATTTATATCGTTTATTTCAAATTATATCCTACTGGGCCTTTCGCTCATGTTTTATATTTCAAATGTATTAAACCCCTCCCAGGAGACACTAGGAGCAGTGCACAGTAGCTGGATAATTGCTACGGAGCAGTTGAGTTGTGCTGCTGTTGGAATCAAGTAAGGATCGTGGACATCCTCTCGGACAAATGTAAGGAATTTGAGAAATTCTGTAAACTTATGTAATATTTGGATTAACTAGACTGTGGTTGATGTCTATTGTAATGATTATTTACATGAGCATGTATGTACGATACTGTATGTCCTGTGGGGTAGAGCCCTGTGTGTTAGAGGCTCTGGGATTCTATAGTAATTTATTTATATTTTAATGCAGTTAAATGTGGGGCCCGGTTGGGAATCTGCTTTATTAATCCTTAATCGAGCTCCACGTCACCCACCCCGCTTGGGGGGTGTGACAAAGGTGGTATCAGAACCTTAGGTTAAGAAACCCCTGGATTGTACATACATGTGTGACATCTGTTATCCACTGAACAGTCTAGTTTTATTTCAGTTAAAGGAAATGGCGCCTCGCCGTAGGCCCGTTAATCAACCGGCACAACAGAATCAGGGATTTCTGGATGCCATGTATGCTGCCTTTCAAGGCATGGCCACAATAGCTCAAACGGAGCGGCCGGTTGAGGATAGGAAGCAAGGGTACTTCCAAAAATTTAGGCGTGCGCATATCCCCTCGTTTAATAGTGAGGGAGGACCCCAGGAAGCAGAGTTCTGGTTAGACTCCATAGTCAAGCACTTGAGTACTATGGGAGTTCCATATGAATACTAGGTGGAATTTGCGGTGTACAAGATGGAGGGCTTAGCGAATACTTGGTGGAAACAGGTCAAGAGAAGAATGGATGTTACAGGACTGACCTGGGAGCAATTTGAGACACTATTCAATGAGCAGTATTTCCCTCAGAGTTATAGGGAGGAAAAAGCGCTGGAATTCATGTCTCTGCTGCAAGGTGATATGTCGGTAAGGGAATATGAGGCCAAGTTCAATGACCTATCCCGGTTTGTGCCATCACTAGTGGAGTCTGAACCCATGAGGTGTCTTAAGTTTGAGAAGGGTCTCAAGAATTTTGTGAGGAGGTCATTGGTGTGGCCTTAAGGATTCGGAACTTTCAGGATTTGGTAGCTGCTGCTACGAGGGTGGAACGGGATAACTTGGCCTATCACCAAAGCAAAGAGGCAACTGGTCGAGTCTCTGTCTCTGGTAGACCTTCCGTTTCAGGTGGACCACAGCAGAGTGGTAGGAGGAACCGTAACCAGGGACAAACGGCTGGGGAAATGACAAGCGGTGGCAGTAGTTCGTCCGGAAGTGACAAAAATGCTCCATACGGGCCCAGGTGTCCCCATTGTGGGTAAGTGGGTCATATTAGGAGGAATTGTCCTAATCGACCGCTGGCTCAACAAGCCCAAAGTGACGCTTCGTATAGTCAAGAAGGGCCACCACCGTACATGCCACCATATCAGCCACAACAGATGCAATACCCTTTTGTACCGACTTATCAACCACCCCTGCTTACACAATTCCAGCCTCACGCGCCGAGACCGATACAACCACCTCCGCTGCAACAGTATAGGCCTCCGACCCAACGGCCTAATGTTGGTGACAGAGGGAAAGGGAAAGTACAGGGACAAGCTTATGCCCTGGCAGGAGGCAGTTCTGGAGGTCAGACTAGCAACGCGGTGGTTGAGGGTATGATTCTAATCTCTCATTCTTTTGCTCACGTGTTGTTTGACACAGGTGCCACACACTCGTTTATATCAAGTTCTTTTGTTCGAACTTTGAAATTGAAACCTGAGAATTTAGAAGTCCCGATGACTTTGAACTCTCCACTAGGATGTGTGGAGGTAATGAGTGTGTGTAGATCGTGTAAAATCACGATTGGGAGTGAGCGAATGAGAGCTTACTTAATTATCCTTCTGATCTGTTTGATGTGGTCCTCGGAGTGGATTGGTTGTCAGAATACGGAGCAATTGTAGATTGTTACCGTAGGAGAGTGACTCTAATGACTAAGCCTGGAAAAGTGATTTCTTATCGGGCAGATATGAATCCAGTCTTAGGAGAACGACTATTGAAGTACAATGTTGGGGGACGGAGGAATCTAGCATGTTTATCTTCTCTTCTTGCTCTAGAAGGTGAACCCGAAATAATTGGAGATAGTGCGGGAATTCTTGTAGTGGATGAGTTTGCAGATATATTTCCTGATGAGCTACCTAGTTTACCGCCAGATCTGGAAATTGAATTCTATATTGATTTGGTCCCAGGAACGGCACCTATTTCCATTCCTCCATACCGGATGGCTCCGGCGGAGATGAAAGAATTAAGGACGCAGCTTGAGGAGTTGGCAGAAAAGGGGTATATCCGGAATGGTACTTCCCCTTGGGGTGCACCGGTGCTATTTGTGAAGAAGCACGACGGATCTTTTCGGTTGTGTATTGACTACCGTTAATTGAATAGGGTAACTGTGAAGAACAAATACCCACTGCCAAGGATCGATGAATTATTCAATCAGTTGGGTGGATCCCAGTTCTACTCTAAGATTAACTTGAGATCTGGGTACCATCAGTTGAAAATCAAGGAGGAAGACATTCCGAAAACTGCTTTCAAAACTCGATATGGACACTTCGAGTTCCTAGTAATGCCTTTTGGGTTGACGAATGCCCCGGCTGCATTCATGGATCTAATGAACCGTGTTTTTCGGCCGTACTGTTGGAAATGGTGTCCTAGAAGCATGAAATGTAATATGATATTTATTATTTATTTAATAAAGGAGTTTATTCATTAT